TCAGGATATCAGCAACATTTTACTAGTTAGCTACTTTTTGAGATCTTTCACAGTAAATGAGATATATAGGCTCAAAGTGGACGATCCGGGTGTCGTTCTATTAGAGGTTTTACGGTATCTAAATTTAAAAAAAACAGCAGGAAATTCATGATTTCGAAAACTGACCTTTTTTAGAATTTTTCCTGAAAATTTTGAATTTTCCGAATTTTTGAATTCCAGATTTTTTACTGGGTATTCTGAACTTTTTAAAAAATTTTGGAAAGTCAAAAATTCCAACAATTGGAATTTCCGAAGTTCGAAATAGTCCAGAAAATTCAGAATTTCCAAAACTAACATTTTCGGAATTTTGTATTACACTGTACATTGTTTGAAACTTTTGAATTTTCAAAGTGTAAGAATTCATGAAAATCTGAGAATACCTGAAAAATACTGATCGACCATTATTCTAGTACACTAAACAAATTCCAACAAATTTTTGATACCTGCTTCTCGACACTTTCAATTATTATTTTTTTGATCTCCGAGATCTGATCCCTTGAAACTTATTGAATTTCTATTCTGAAAACCCACCCGCCCTCTTCTCGGTGTTCCTTTGAAATTGGTCCAAAAAGGTAACCCGTTTTTTTAACCCGTTTTGAAACTGCTCATTCTTCTTTTTTCTTCCTTTCTCCTTGTTTCTGACATTTGTCTCTGCCGGTTTTTCAAAAAATCTTCAAAAACTCTGTCTTCCAGTTTTTTCCTCTCCAGGGGGCAGCACCCACAAAACAAGTGACTTTTCTATTCATATCCAATTTCATCCCTCTCCACTTTTTGCTTTTTTCCCAACCCATTTTCAGTGCTCTTTTCATATGTATTTCATTCAATTTATTATATCCCATATCCCACCATATCTTTTATTCAGTCTAGACACCTACAAAAAGTGAGAATTAAAGTTCTTGGGATCTTGAAAAAATGTATAAAATCGGATCAGGGATAATATACGCAGAGATAGGAAGAAACGAAAAAACAAAGAAAGTTTTTTTTTCCCTTTTTTTACATCAGCTCTACACACCCTTTTAGTGCATTTCGGGTAGAGAGAAAGAACCTTTTTTCGCCCTGTTCTTCCTGGTTGTGACGTAGATTTACTTAACAAAAAAAAAGAGAAAAGAAAGCAACTGTTTTTGTGTTGGGTTCCGAGGAAAAGGAAAAAGAAAAACCAAAGATGGTTCCGAAGTTTCAGGAAACAAGTTTTTTCGAAATCCTGATTGATCTTGTTGTATAATATTTTAAAATTTATCCATCTAGATTTTTATAAAGATTCTAGAACTTTCTTATCTTGATTTTTTTAAAAGTCTTCCCATGTATTTAGAAAAATGAGATTTTTTTGTAAATTACTTCATTTTTCGAACTGAGAAAATTGTGAAAATTTCGAAAGTCCCAGGATTCTGAGTTTCTGAAATTTCCAAAACTTAAAAATTCCATCCAATTTTGAAATTGCAAGAATTACGAGATTCGAAAAATTTCAAAATTCCGGAAATTCCCATATATCAGAATTCCCAAGTTTTTTCGAATATCCCGGGCTTTATAAATTTTGAAATTTCCATGTCTCCAAAAATTCTACGAACTTGAAAAATCCTGGAAATTCGGAAAAAGTCCCAAAAAATTCAGTTAATTCAGTATATTCGGATTATCCCAAAATGCCCAAAAATGCCCCAAACCCCTGAAATTCAAACTTTTGAAAATTTTAAAAATCTAAACATTCTAAAAATTCAGATAATCCGAAAGTTCCCATGTACCAGAATTCCCAAAATTTTGAATATTCCGGGGTTTCGGAATTTCGAAAATTTCAAGTCTGCAATAATTCCGAAGTTTCAGAAAAATTCCAAAAATTCTGAAAACTCGGAGAAAAGTCTGGATTTTTTCAAATTTTCAGCATATTCGGATTATCCCAGAAATCCTGAATTTTCAAACTTATGGAAATTTCTAAATTATGAAAAAATTTTAAAAAAATCCTGAAGACTGTATTAATGATAAAAACTATTGTATGCTATATGGAAATCATCAAAATGTTACATAAATTCAGAACTATAATATATTTCTCATGTTTTGAATTTTTCAAAACCCAAAAATTACCCCTAACTTCATAATCCATGACCTCTTCTCCCAATTCGATGAGTTCAAAAAGTGTTTTTGCTCTGCTAACCTAATTTTTTTTCTGCAATAAACTAGTTTTGCACCTGCCATGGTTTTTGTTGTCCTCTCTCAAAACTTTCTTGTTTATGATCCATGCTCTCTCCTCTAAAATGTTTCTTTTTTTGTTTTCTTAAAGTCAGTTGAATTTCTTAAGAATTTCATTTGCCCTTGTCTAGGCTCCGCCCACTTTTTTGGACTGGTAGGTCCCAATAAGTTGAACCATATTGAGACATGGATTCCTGTATTCTGAGCTATCTAAAAATTTGTGGATCCAAAGTTAAATTAGTGTAAGTATTAAATCAAGTGCAGCAGAAATATTTTTCGTCATTCACCCATTTTCTCCATCCCCAGCTGTCCAGTAAATTTGTCTGAAAATCGGGGAGAGGCAGCTGAAAAAGATAAAAGGTGTTTTCTTTTTTTCGGCTGCTCAACAGAAAAAGAGCTTCAGAGCCCTGCATTTTTTGCTCAATTACCCTTCTTCCCAGCTAATTCTATCAGGAATTCCACGAATTTTCGTTTTCTGAGAATAGGTTTGTATTTTAGTTGAGCCAATTATCTGTAACGAATTATTCAGCAATGTTATTTTTAGCTTCCTGGGAAAATATTTTTCCAAAAGCAAATTTTGAGATCCTACAGTAACCTCTGACCTGATTCTAATTTTTTGGATTGAAGTAGTTGACCTTAACCCTCCGATTTGCTATCGATTCTTATTCATCCCCCTCTAGATTTTTAATGAAGCCTTGAATAAGTGCCCTCATTAAGATGTCACTCCTTCCTTTACTTTTTTTACTCATGAAAAGTTTTCTAGGAAAAGTTATAAATATTTTTTCGAAAGCTCTGCTGAAATTCAAAAAATTCTCCAGTTAAAATCCCTGTCTGAACTTTGACCATAAGAAATTCGAGCTGTAAATGCGAGATGCGGAAGTGAACTTTTTTCGAGATCAACTATTTTTTGAATTCCCGCCAGGCCAAAAAAATTAAAGCATTCATCGGTCAAATTAGCTATTTTAGATGAAAACCGTCAAAAAACTGTCGAAATGAGTGGATGACCTAGAAATCCCCTTTAAAAACTCGGCCAGTATCACTTCTAGAAGTTCAGGTCTATGGCCTAGAAAACCTGGAAGCTCAAAATTCGAAAGTTTCGAATTTAAAGAAATTCTGTCTTGGTATCTTTACTGTCAAAATTTTTGACCCATGGGACAGTTTGAACTGCAAGTCCACTTCAAAAAACCTACTTGACTTTTCCCAGATCTCTGAACTCTTTATCGATTTGTCATATTTCATTGTTCTATACCAGTTTCGAACCTCAGGGGGTAATTGTTTTTTCTCCCCTTTTCTCCTCCTTTGAGTCCCTCGTGGTCTCCATCTAGGTCCTTTCCTCGACGAAAAAAACGACATTTCCGTCCCTTTTCCGTGTCCCTCTCTCGTTTTTTTTTGAAGAGAAGAAGATAACCAACACTACTGCTCCTCAACCATTTTTTTGTTTTGTTTGTTGGTCCCCACATTTTTTCCTTTTTTCGGGGGCTCCTCCGCGGGTCTTCTGTTCGCTTTCACTTCTTTTTTCGGGGCCTAGTCATTCTCTGTTTTTTTTGCTTCAGAAAATAACCCCTATCTATTGTTTTGATTTTTTTCGTTCCTTCAAAGGACTAATTCCTCTCTTTTTCTCTGAATTCGTGATGAATCACAATTGGATATTCTAAGCGTCTCCCGAGAAAAAAGGATGAGAAAATAATGACGAGTGCACTGAGTCCGAGTACATCCAAGTGTAATACATGTGCAAAGTCCGTCACCTCGGACAATGGGAAAGAGATTCAACCGTTTGGAGTTTTGGTCGGGCGGAAGATCCCAAAAAGAGTCAACTCACCATTGACACCGTTTGCTAGGTACTATGGGAATTGATTAATTACGGTTTAGGGAACCTGAGAAACTATTTTATATATTTTTAAACATCAGGGTCATTATACCTGTCCGCTCGATCTTGACCCCGCACTGGGGTCAGGTTTTACAGTAATTGAGCTCACAGTGCCGGACTATTAGAGGGAGTGAGGCAACCCCTTAGATTCACCAAAAGTTTTGAAATCAAGTTGGTTTTTCAATTCGAAATTCCTGCCAAAGTGAACACAAAGGGTAACCTCCATTGCCTCTAATGGACCGGCACTGTGAGCTCAATTACAGTACAACCTGTGATAGAAAGGATCCAACTTTGAACACATATATCTCCGTTCCTGTTAGAGATATTAAAAATGTGTCAACTAATGAATTGTTTATCATAATATCACAAATATTTCATCAGTTGACATCTTTTTAATATCTCTCATAAGAGCCGAGATAATTGAGCTCAAACCTGAGAGAGCACTGAGTGTTCATCAAAATTCAAAGAGCACAATAACAAACGAACAAACAAACAACAAATTATAAGTTTCAGCTACTGGAAAACCGAGGCCACTCCAACGAACAACAACGAACATGAAACGTCTGTTGACCAACTCCGAAAAGCGAGTGTCTCTCGAAAAGAGTCAGGAACCCACGTGGATACAGTAGTCACCACAATCGACGGACAGAGATATGATACCAAGGAACTGGATCATGATCCAGATTTTAGTGAAACCGCCGAATGGGCGTTCCCGATTTTCCAAATCTCCCGAAAGTATCCAAAGACGATTTTGAGCAGGCTGACCTACAACATCTTCCAACAATCAGAGTTGTTCCGAATTTTCAAAGTTTCTCCGATCAAATTTTTCAACTTTTTCCACGCTCTCGAGAAGGGATACTGGGAGATTCCATGTGAGTTCTTCGTCTTTTTTAATTCAAATTCATTTCTTCCAATATATCAGATCACAACCGAATCCACGCTGCCGACGTTCTTCATGGATGCTACTACCTATCAGTTCACCCAGTCCGACCACAATTCGGAGTCGTCAAATCTCCAGATTCCCTTCTTCCGGCCCCACATCCACAGGCTGCTTCTATCATGTCTCAGATGAGCACTTTGGAGTTGATGGCACTTTTCACAGCGGCTGCGATGCATGACTACGATCATCCTGGCAGAACGAACGCATTCTTGGTTACTGTAGAGGATAAGAAGGCAATTCTGTACAATGATCGAAGTGTTCTGGAGAATCATCACGCTGCAGAGTCCTGGAAACTGCTGAATAAGTCTGAAAATCATTTCATTGAGAATTTGGATCCAGCTGAGATGAAAAGGTAAATTCAAAGAACTAGCGTATATAGCCTAATTTTGGATTTTCTAGGTCATGGCCTATTTTTTTTGTATTTTCTAGGTCATGACCTAATTTTTCTGAACTTTAGGTCGTGCCCCATTTTTTTTTGAATTTTTTAGGTCGAGACCTTTTTCTTGGTTTTTAGGTCATGACCCAGTTTTTGAAATTTCTAAGTCATGGCCTATTTTTGTCATTTTTTAGGTCATAACCTTATTTTCTGAATTTTCTTGGTTATTAGCTAATTTTTTCAAATTTTAGGTCGCGAACAATTTTTCTGTTTTTCAGGCCGTGACCTAATTTTTCGAATTTTTTAAATCATGACCTAGTTTCTGGATGTTCTAGGTCATGGCCTGATTTTTTGGATTTTCTTTTTAAAATTAAATTCTTTGATATTCCAGATTCCGATACCTGGTCCTCGAGTACATCCTTGCCACTGATCTCAAGCAACACTTTGAAATCATTATGACATTCAACGATCGATTAGCTGACATGGATCTTCAAGTGGAGTCCGATCGATTGCTCGTCGGAAAGCTTCTTATCAAAATGGCTGATATTAACAGCCCAACAAAACCATACGGGTTGCATCGACAGTGGACCGACAGAATCTGTGAGGAGTTTTATGAGCAAGGAGACGATGAGAGGAGAAGGAATCTGGCAATCACTCCATATATGGATAGGGGAGATGCTCAGGTGGCAAAGTTGCAAGACTCTTTCATTGCTCACGTTGTCAGTCCGTTGGCTCAGGCCATGCATGAGGTAAGTTCAGCATTCTAAATATTCTAGGTCACATTGTTGTATTTTAGAGCGGTCTCCTCCCAATTCTTCCTGGTCTCGAAACCTCCGAGCTTATGATCAATATGCAGCATAATCACAGAAAATGGAAAGAGGAGATTGAAATCGAAACTGCTAACTATGAGCCAACCTGTAATGGTATGTGAGAACTTTGAATTTTTAAGTCCATAATCTACATTTTCCAGGTGGATCAGTGAACGGAGTGATAGAAGAAGAGAGTGCCAGCACCAGTGATAGTCCAGATCCACGACGAGATTCTCCATCATTGGATTCCGAATTAAGCCAGGTTGGTGGAAAGTGTGCTCTATTGTGGCCTACCCCCACTTTTTCCGAGTTTCTTTAGCTTTTTTCTCTATTTAGCTTACAGAATAGCATGCAAAATTAGGGCTTCCACTCGGTCGGGAAATTCAGCGCGTCAACATGCCAGAGAGTGTTTGCGTACGCGGCATTTTATTTTACGAATATCTTGAATAGCGTGTCGTAAGATAAAATGCTACGTACGCAAACACTGGCATGTTGACGCGCAGTCGCCCATTTTCGACTGACCGGAATGGAAGCCTTGATTGCCAACCCTGTAATTATTATTTCGTAAATTTTTCAGTGATCGCCCCCAGAAAATCTTTGGCCGTGATGTATTTCTATCTCTCTGCGGCTCTTTCTCCCTCTCCGCCAATTTTTTTTCAAATCAACCCTTTTCAATTGTTTTCCCTTTTTCTTATTTTTCCCCCCATTTAGCTTTTGTGCTCTTTCCCCCAATCCATATGTTCAAAAAAACTACGGTGATCGTATTCAGGTACCGTTCACCATTTGCTGCAGTATTGCCGAAGAGGAATACATCTGAAAATTCTGAAATTCATAGTCACATTCCACCCCAATTTTTCTGTATTCTTCTGTCTTCTTCTGCGGATCTCTTTCCGAAGTTTTCTGTCCACAAATCTCGGGTTTTCTGTCTCTCTTTTTCTTTTCCCTCTCATTTTTGAAAAATCAAAATTTGATTTTTTTTTCTTTTGGTCCTAATTTTACGGTAGCTTTCGGCTCAAATTGTTCCTTTTTGAAAACAGTCGTTTTTTTTCTTCTGAATTTTGCGAAGTTTACAATTTCTTCTCCTTTCCACTCTTGCCATTTTCTTTGTCCCGTTTTAATCCCTTTCCCAAAAACTTTGTCTTATAAAGTTACAAATTTTTGTATTTCTTTGTAAAATTCTTTGATGCACTGTCCTTTGGAAACTCACTCTCTGAAATTGTTTAAATTGTACCGATTATGGTTAATAATATCCTTGTCTCCATTTGAATGTCTTGTCAACTCGATCCGTGTGGTTCTTTCTCTTTTCATCTGTCATCCCCCCGAATTTTGTTTCATTTTATCTTGAAATGTTTGTCTGAAAAAAAATTAAATTTTTTAAATTATATTTGTTGGTTCTAATAGATTTCAGATCTTCACAACAAAATTTACCGTATTTCCTTTGATAGCAGATCACTCAAACCGTCAAATTTGAGCTCAATTATCTCGAATCCTGGGATGGGTATCAAAAATTTGTCAACTGATAAATTATTTATCATAATATCACCAACATTTTATTTGTTGACAATATTTTCGATACACTTTACAGGAATCGAGATAAATGAACTCAAAGTTGACGGGTTGGTTGGCACTCTATTAGAAGAAATACGGTAGTCAAGAAGGAAAACGATTATTCAGAGTACATAAAAATTTTCAGATTACAAAAAAGCGGTGAAACCTCAAAAGCCAAAAAAAACAGCTTTCAAGGTTTGATTGAAAAATAGACTCCGCCTCTTTTATAGTACCGGGCGAGAAACATCACAATTTTACTGGTTTAGTGGAAAATATTTAACATTGAAGAGAGAATTACAGAAATTTTAAATTTTAAAATATTTTTCTGAAAAGTTCAAAAAGTGACAAAAAAGGAAAAACTATTTAGAACTCTATTGGGAGTTGTGATTAAAAAAAACCGAAAAATCCTGGACCACATTTTCAAGACTGATTATATTTCACTGAAAAGTCAAACTACCGTAGAGTAAAACCTGTAGTAGAAGGGCCTTCATCTCTATTCCTATGCAAGATATCAAAAAGTGGTTTCCTGACAAAGTACTCCTGCTTGTATGATAATAGTTTTATCAGATGACAACTAATTCATATCCTTGACAGGAACAGATAAAAATTGGCTCAAAGTTTAGAGTTAGAGGGAACTTGACCCAAAAACATGACGTGATCCAGTGTTTTTTCACACATTCTCCTCCCGATCTCTTTCTATTCTTTCATCCAATATTTGCCCTCCTTTGTATCTTTTTGAATGATTCTTTGCTCTGTCTTCTTCCTCGTTTCGATTCCTTCCGCGCAACCAACGGAAAACTTGCCGCTAGAATAAAAAACAACACATAAAATCGCAACATTTCACTTATTATTTATTTGGAGGAGAGTGGGAGTTAATGGAGGAAATACATCCTGAAATTCAAGAAGACAAAAACATGGAACAACGGGAAAGGGTGGACGGATGCTTGAGATTTTGATTCTGATCTTGGAATCTGGGATCTCCGAGTGAAGGTGAGTGAAACAACGGAAGAAAATTGATATGTCTAGATACTTCAAATACCATAATATCTGTAACAGAAGAGCCCCCATACTTTCGAGTTTGAGATAATTTATCTCGATTCCTGTTAAAGATATCAAAAATGTATCAACTGATAAAATGTTTGTGAGATTATGATAAACAATTTATCAATTGGCAACTTTTTTTTAAATCTTTGACAGGAACCGAGAAAAAATGTCTCAAAATTGAACACTTCTTCTGTTACAGGACTGTCTGTGGTTATGAATATAGAGAGTTTTTTTTTTTTGAAAATTAGGCACTTTCTGAAATTTTTAAACTAAAGAATCAAGCGAATAACTATGCTATTCATCAAAAATGCCAAAAAATTCAAATTTCCCAATTCGAAAAATTCCAAATTTCAGAAAATTCCAAAAAATTTCAAAAATTAAGAAATTACCTAAATTTTCAGAAAGTGCCGAAAAAAATTCAAAAAATTTCAAAGTTCCTAATTTAAAAAATTTCGAAGTCTCAAAAAATTTCAAAAATGTACCGAAATTTCTGAAAAATTTCACATTTTTACAAAATTCCCAAAATGTTCAAATTTCCGAAATTTCCAAAAAAATTTGAATTTTAAAAATTCCAAAAAAAATTTACAATAAATTGTAAAAAATCCCAAAATATCCAAAAATTCCGATCTAGTCTCACTAGACAAAAAAAAAATAAAAAAGCTTCTTCCGTTGCGGGGAATCGAACCCCGGCCTTATGGGTGAGAGCCATAAATCTAACCACTAGACCACAACGGAGCATGAGAAACTGGGTCACACATGTTGTACATGTCTTGAGCAGCTGTTGCAGGAAGCAGATAGCATGGTGACTGCTGGTGTTGAGACATTGAATGATAGGCTTCTTATCAATATATGTACAGATTTTTCACATCTTTTAACATGGCGGCTGATGTGTTGGGACATTGATAGATTCCTTATCAATCCAATCCCCTTCATGTGCATGGTTTCTTGCAACCCATCTTTTCCGAAACGAGCCACTCAATTTTTTTCGACCACAACACACACGTACATGTGCTTGAAACATCCACAGACAAAGTTTTGTGCTTGCAATGCCCAAAAAAGCGCCGACCGTCAGACCACTTGAAGAGTAACCATCGGCTCTCTTTTGGCAACATCAGGCTCACAGATCATGAATGACGAATTGCAAATTTTGCGCTTATATCTGTTTTTCTGTGTTCTTCTCCCCTTTTTCTAGTCTTCTGGAGAAGTCCTGTTTGTCCTTTTCATACACTCTGGTACATATGTCTACACAAGACTTTTTTCTCGCACCTTCGAGCACAATTCAATGAATCAAAATTGTGTTGACATACTGAATTGAATACGGGAGGAGGACAGAATCAAAAGTTTTACGTGCCGAGTGAGCATGTTCACGTGTTTGGTTGATTAATGGGTAACAAGAGAGAGGAGAACAAAAAATCGAACAAATACTTGGAGATGGACAAAAAGATGAACTGTATGGAACAACAAAATGAGCTACTGGTTTTAGAGTGAAGATGCCATAGTAGGGCCCCTACCTTTGAGCCATTTTTTCTTGATTCCTGTGGAAGATATGAAGAAGTTGTCAACTGATAAATTGTTTATCATAATATCATCAGTGTTTTGTCAGTGGACACATTTTGGATATCCTGCATAGGAATTGAAATAATTTGGCTCAAACGCGACAGTGTCTGGCAGAGTACCAGCGGCAGACAGAGTCGATTTATCATGTACTGTACAAACCTAAATATTTTAGCTTCGGTTTTTATATTTTTCAGAGAGTGAGAATAAAATTTCACAGTGTTGAAAACACCATGTCCCAGAAAAGTAGTCATATTTTGCAAAACTTTCAAGGATTTCATAAATTCATAAACTTTATCCTGATCAATATATGTACCGGACAAAAAACATAAATGCTATAATAGAACCCCGCCATACACTTGCACTTTAAGAGAGGAATAATCTTACAAGTTTCGTTAAAAGATGTGAAAAATCTGTACATATATTGATAAGAAGCCTATCATTCAATGTCTCAACACCAGCAGTCACCATGCTATCTGCTTCCTGCAACAGCTGCTCAATACTTGTACTCCAGGAGTGACCCAGTTTCTCATGCTCCGTTGTGGTCTAGTGGTTAGGATTTATGGCTCTCACCCATAAGGCCGGGGTTCGATTCCCCGCAACGGAAGATTTCTTTTTAATTGTGTTTGTCTAGTAGAGTAACGTGTCGACACGATTGTCGATCGATTTTGAGTCAAAATGTCGTTTTGAAGGAGTCGTGTCGACAAAAGTCGATAAATGTCGACAAAAGCCGACAAATGTCGAGCCGAGTCGACACGACACCTATATGGTGACCTAATTTTCTCAAAATGAATTTTCTAGGACGCGAAACTTTTTATGCCTATAAATCATAGATGTCCGGAATGACTTTTTTGAGTGACGGAATCCGAAATAAAATAATTTCCTCGGAATCCAGAATACGGACAAATGAAAATTTTACGGTATACGGAATCCGGAATCCGGAATGACAATAATTTTCCGGAATACGAAAAAAAAAGAAAAAATTCACGGAGTCCGGAGTCCGGAATAAAAGTAATATTCCGGAGTCCGGAATACGGAATCCGGAACGAAAAAATTCTCGGGATCCGGAATACGGATTCCGAACTCCGGACATCTATGCATTAAATAGTATAATTTTCATCTAATGTGTTTTCCAGGTCATTTATACATGGTGGCCTAACTTTTATAAGTTGAGTTTTCTAGGCCACAATGGTGAACGGCTTAGAAATCACACCGGGATAATGATAGACCATTTCTAGGTCATAACTTTAGTGACCTAGAAAATTCAATTTGCAACAGTTAGGCCATCATAGAGTTAGGCCGGTGTCGTGTCGACTCGTCTCGACATTTGTCGACTTTTGTCGACAGGAATCGACAAAATGGCGAAAGCACTCTAATAGAAGGCACCCTATTCTTATATCTTCAGATCAATTTTCTCGACTCCTATGAGAGATATCAAGAAAAATAACATTTTGGTGATGTTATGATAAATAATTTATTAGTTGAGAACTTTTTGACATTTTTACATAAATCGAGATAATTGAGCTCAGGGTTGACGGTTTGGGTGGACTTCTACTAGAGCAACTACAAATGTAGAACCATCAATAAAACATTTTTCAAAATCAATGACAAAAGGCTGAAGTTCAAGAAGCTGAAGTTTAAAAAAGTCTCAAAAACTGGATATCAACATTTCGGTCGAAGTTAAAATATTGAACTTTGGTAATTGGATAGTTATCATTTAACAACTAGATCCCTTGGCAACCTCTGGCCTTTTCAATAAGAATCTAAACAAACTACAACATGTCTAGACTTGATGACCTCATGCTTGCTCCATGTATCAAGATCCCCCTCTATCCGTGAACACAAGGATCACAGAAAAAGTGGTTGCTCCTTCAGCCATGCATCCTCCTCTTATTCCATCTCATTCAAATAAAATATGACTATGTGCTCAGTCAATCGTCCTTCATTTTTTTCTCTTCCAATACAATACAATAGATTGTTGGCATTGAAGGTTGTTGGCACCGCCTGTCGACGACGACAGCGTTAGTAATTCGATACAGATGAGAGAGAGAGAGAGAGAGAGAGAGAGAGAGAGAGAGAGAGAGAGAGAGATGCGGAAAAAGTTTTACCGCGCGGTGGCTTATTTACCATCGAATAGAGAGCAAGAATACAATACAATTGGCACCCAGAAAGACACGTGTAAGGATCGGAGAGGGGCGAAAAAAGATTCCATGAGGTGAGGGCGAGAAGAGCCACGCCTTTTCATGCACGGTGGGTATAAAATGGATCCAGATTCCATTCGAATCCTCATCACTTTCCCCGATTTCAGATTCAGGTTTTACTTTTCCCATCCTACTGTAGGCAAAAATGTCTTATGGGACTTTAAATTTTTCGATTAGTGAACCTTTGGAACTTTATTCAGACCATCTTCCTGGTACTCATAGCTATAACATTTCAGTTCTCTATAATTCATAATTCCTAAAACTTTCCGTTTTTTTTAATCTGATTTTCTTGGTTCAAAATAATTGATGGCCACCTAAACCGTCACCTTTAATCCCTTATATATCGGTTTCTGTACAAGATGCCAAAAAGTAATCAACTAACAAAATGTTTTTGATATTATGATAAACATTTTATTAGTTAACTGTTTTTTTTTCATATCTTTCACAGGAACCGAGATAAATTGACTTAAAGTTAAAAGTTTGGATGGACTTCTACTTGAGTGTTCACGGTATGATCTTTTCATATATTTTTAATGTTACTAATTCCTAGAAATGTTTTTCTTCCTTCTATTTTTTTAACGTCTTCTGATTCTGAATCCTCATCTCTCACCATTATCCAGAACCATGTCACGCCTATCGTCCCTGTTGATTCTTGTCTGCATCGGAGCACTTCTCGTTGAGGTGAGGAGCCAGTTCTTTTCAAAACAGAAAACAATAGTAAAACCACTACAACCGAAAACTTAGACAAACAAATAAAATTGCGGAACTTTTGATGTCTCTAGAACTAGTTCTCACTCGGCAAATTGTGTTGACCTATCCTTTGAAAATATGACTATTGTTTCTCGGGATGGGGAAAAAACAATAATAATGGAGTCATGAGTTAGACCAAATAATGGTTCTCAATAATCAAGAATTTTCGAAAACCCAAATATTGAATTCCAGACATTCGCCGCTCCTGACGAGCCAATCATCGTCCGCTCGAAGCGTCAGCAATGTCGTTGTGTCAAGAATCCAAACGGTGGACTCACGTGCAGTTGCGCCAAGGGACCAGCTGTAAGAATTCAAATAATTTTCAATATTCTAATAATTTCCTTTATTTTCAGAACGGATCTTCCTCCTCCTCATCCGTCGGAAACGGAGTCCAGTACGATGTTCCTCAATCAACCGAAATCGCCCAACAGTTGACCCAAATGACTCAACAATCGCCTGGAATGGGAGCAGCGCGTTGCGGATGCATCCAGATTGTGATTCAAGGAGCACCACAATACAACTGCCAGTGTGGAGATCAGAATGGAAATCCAGTGAGTTGAGATTAGTGGCAAAACTAGAATGATACTTCGATAATGAAACAACCCCAAACTTTGAACAAAAAACCAAAAAAATTGAGAAATTTGAATCGATTCTTTCTTATTTTCATAGTCATGGAAAGTCCCATAATAATTGCATTTTTCAAAATTTTCAAAACTTTTCGGACCCATTTTGAAGGTTTTTAAAATGACAGTTGGAACAGAAATCCTTCAAACGGGAAAGTAGTTTTTTAGAAAATGTAGGATAGCGGTATCTTCTTTTGGGGCCCTAAATTTCGGCTAATATACCGTAAAACCTTCAATAGAAGGCCACCCACACCAGTAGGTCAATTATCTCACTTCCTGTAAAAGATATCAAAAAGTTGTCAACTGATAAAATGTTTGCAATGAAATGATAAACAATTTATCAGTTGACCACTTTTTTATATCTTTAGCAGGAACCGAGATAAATTGGCTTAAAATTAAAAGTTAGGGTACCCATCTATCAAATTTGTTACGGAGCTCTATTTTTGTTTAGTGAAGATTTCAAACCAGACCAATAGAAAAGTTTTAAACTTCGATTTAGGGTTCCAGAAACGTCTTTTCAAACTGTGAATTCTCAAAAAATGAAATACTGTAAAACCTAAAATAGGAGGGTCCCTAACTTTTATCTTTGAGCCAGTTGTTCTCTGTTCCTGTCGAAGATATAAAAAAGTTGTCCACTGATAAATTGTTTATCATAACATCGAAATCATTGCTGTTTAACACTTTTCGATACCTCGCATGGGAATTGAGATAATTAAGCTCAAACTTGGCAGTGTGAGGCTTTCTATTACAGATGTTACGGTACTTTTGTCCGCCACTTTGACTTAGTGAGGGAGTTTTTGGGCCCCAAATGCCTTACACAATAATTTTAGAAAAATGAAAATCTATATAGCTCCCAACCTCCACCACAATGGCTCCAACCACAACCTCCACCTCCACCACAACCACCACAACCACAACCACACCAGCCCCAACCACAACATCAACCACCACCACTCAGGCGCCAGTTTCCTATCCTCAAGTGCCAACTCAAACTCAGGTAGAGACCCAATATCCAATAGTCCCTATTAGTGATAGTTTCGTTTAGGGAAATAACGGTGCTTGCAACTGCATCATGATCAGTATCACCAGTCCACAAACCGCTCAATATCAGTGCCAGTGTGCTCAGCCACAACAGCAACAGGTAGGGTTTTCGGAGATTTTTGTTGCATGAACGGGAACTAAAAGTTCATTTTTCTTTTGGTAAATTATAAGTTGACTCTTTTGGAATGACTTCTTGAAGTGATTGGTTCATGATTCAAAAGTGTTTCTGAAAGTCTAAAAAAATTCTATTACATTTTGATTATTCAAGACATTCAAATCCACAAAAAATCAAGCATGACCCACCCGCTATCTTAATCTGCATGTTCTAACTATCACAGCAATTCATCGTGGACTACGAAGACCCGACAGAAGAATACGGATCACAAACCGCCATTCCTGGAACTCTACCAGCACCAGCAACCACAACTCCACTTCCACAAACCACGCAGCCAACAACCACCACCACACCATCCACAACTACTCCATCATATCCACAATTGAATCCATCAATGTACACACAATCCCCACCTACCGTATACCCGGCCATCGGACAACTGGCCACTGGACAAGAGACATGTTATTGTCTTGATCCAACGACCAGCATCATGTCCGGTTGTGGGTGTCGGTGTAATTGTGCCACGTTGATGGTTACTGTACCGAATGCGTACTGTGGATGTCCACAACCAGGACAGGTAGGGTAACTGCATGAGATATAGCATGAGCATGACCGGGGGTATAAGAACAGAAAATTGTTATGTCAAACCGGAATTTCGTAAACTTTTGGAAAGAGAGCTTTCGGTTAGAGATTTTGGAATCCTAGAAAATATACCGTGAATGATCTAATCGAAGCCCGCCCAATAGTATGCTTTGAGGTCAATTATCTCGGTTGCCATTAAAAATATTAAAAACTGATAAACTAATAAAATGTTACTGATGTTATGATGAACATTTTATTAGTTGACCACTTTTGGATATATTTTACAAGAACCGAGATAAATTGGCTCAAAGTTGATTCGGCTTCTATTTAATCATTTCTATTTAAGATGGCCTCAGGAAATTTCGGATTCTGACTAATGAAGATTTGAGTTATTTTTCACTTCAAGCCTGAATAAAATTTTCCAGAAGTTTCTCAAACCGGCAAATAATTCAGAAGTTACAAAATTTAGGGGTCATTGGGGTACAAAGCGATTTAGGGGTACAATATCCTCAAATCAGGGGGTACAAAATACTTGAAAAAGTTTGAGTTTTGCACCCCGAATCGCCAATTTTGTACACCTAAATCACTTCGTACCCCTTTGTACTCACGAATCAGTGTACCCTCCGAATTATGTTCTTCTCAAATTTGACATAAAAACTCAAATTTCCATTTTTTTGAAGGTCCAATACGCGGATACCTACGACTACACTCAGGCGTACACTCAACCACCAACGGTATTTGACTACAAAGCTTATCCATCAAAAGTACGTTTTCTTTTTTCTAGACCACCACAACCGCCCCAACCACCACGACACAAGCTCCAACCACGCAACCACCAACTACCACGAGTCCCATCCAGTATGCTGATCAAACTGCCACCCAATACCCACTGACAACCACCTGTGTCATGTATGTCAATGTGCCAACGACCGCATGCTCCTGCCTTCCACAGTACGACCAGTGTGCACAAAATGTGTGCTGTTTGAAAGCCAAGTACAGAAGTTACAAGGTAAACATTTTCATTTTTTCAATTTTGATACAATTTACACCATTCTGAATTTTCCAGAAAGCCGAAGAAACCCAACCATCGACCCTCGACGTGCTCATGAACGTTCTCCAAACCATCAAGACAAAACTTGAATAATTATTTTTTTTTTCGAACGAACGAACGAACCTTTTATTTAGTGTATATGTAAATATTGAAACAATAATGCCATGTGTGCTCCTTTCCTACTTCGCAATATTTTAATCTAATAAATGTATTATCTGTCTGAAAATCTAATTTTTATTTGAAATCCAGAAATCCACAAATATCTGAAGAGAAAAAAAAATACATTCACAAAGGGATGAGAAATTTTACATTTTGTATTTAAGAGTTATTTTTTTGTATGGGAGACGCATTTTTAATAAAGAAAACGGGTGAAGTTTTGGGGGGATTTTGTATAAGTGACGATTTTTAAGTAGAGAAAAAAAGAAAAACAGTTAAAATAGGAAAAATGAAAATGACTATATCTATGTTTGAAAATCAAGAAAAAAGTAATACAAAAATAGTTGGGATGTGCTGAGATCGTGAAAAGAAAGTTCAGAGGAGAGGAGGACAAATAGTAAAGATGGGATTTGGTCATGATGGAAATTAAGTCTTTAGAGAAAAATGAGAAAATGAACTAGATTTGGGGATAAAAAAGGGGGAAGATACACTCGGAGGTAGCGGGAACACATTGGGATGAAATCTAGATTCCGGCGATGAATGGGCTCAGCGAGCATGGCGATTTGTCTCCGCTGGCTCCACGTTTCACGAGAGCGTTATCGGCAGCTTCCTTCTTGCGCCACTTGGTACGACGGTTTTGGAACCAGACCTGTAAAAAAGAAGATTTTTAGATTTTGTTATATTTTTGGTGTTGGTGAGAATGGGAAGTTGTGAAGAGTGTTGAGAGTTGTTCTTTTTTTTTTCTTTGAAGTTAAAAAAAAAATTTATACATGTTTAATCTGAAAAACTAGATCGGAGTAGACCATCAAGGTTAATAAGTTTACAATGGAGTTATCAAAATTTTTGAATAATTACCGGGACTAAAGTTTTTACTAGCATAAAATTTTAGTAAAGCATAGTACTGAGCTCAAATTTGGAATGCAAAAATTTTAATACTTCATCAGTAAACTGGCCAAGTTATAAATTATTTGATCAACTATGAGTTGCGTTATCTCTTGTCAAAGTTGCTTAATCTCATGAAAATCACAATAATTCATCTTTGGACAATCATAACAATACCCGGACTCGAAGAATCGCTTTACGAGTACCGTATTTCCTCTAACAGAGGCCCGCCAAAACCGTCAACTTTAAGCTCGATCATATCGGTTCCTTCAAAGGATATCAAAAAGTGGTGAATTGATAAAATATTTATCATACTATCACCAATACTTTATCAGTTGACAAAATTTTGGTATCTTTCACAGCAGCCTAGATAATTGAGCTCAAAGCTAACGGTTTGGATACCCTTCTATGACAGGTGTTATTTTATCCAGTGCTCCATGTGAAGTTATAGCTCAAAAAAATCCCCACTAAAACACTTTTGGTCCCCACTTTTCCCCCTTCTCAAAACTTTTAAATCTAAAACATATATGTCACTCAATATATCTCAATCCCCTCTGTCAAATTCTTTTTTTCAAAACTCCCCTCTCCTTTTGAAAACGGGCGACGACACATGATATCAAATAAAATTAAAATATTTGAATTGAAATGAACTGAAGGAAGGAAGGAATAGAATTGAGCATGTCTTATTTCCAGAAGACGACCCAAGGGACCGATAGAATTTTGAAAAAGTGAAATAGAAGAGACAGATGTTTAGGGAAGAGTGTTGTACCACATTATGCATAACTATCTTCCTATACTACTAAACATAATGAGCTTCGATGACTGGTTTGATGGGATATGATGGCCTAGAAAAAGCTAGACCACCGATCCCAATTTTCTAGGTTAATCCCAACCATAACATGAATATCTAATTTCTATTATGCTGCGGTTGCTGTATACACGTTCCCGATAATAGTAACTATGTGTGTTCGTTGGAATCAAATGTATTCATATGTGAAATGAGGTGTATCCCCTCTTCTCCGAAAACTACAGTAACCGGATACACTTTTAATCGAAACCAAAAACGATCCCCATAATACAATTCTCTATTTGTTTGAAATGGGGAAAAACTAAGAGAGAAAGAACATGATGACGAACCGCTCGTCTTCTATATCATGCACACCAATCATGATAATAATAATAATGATATAGAATATAATGATGGAGTGGATGACTCAACTCCCCAATTCTTTGTTATTTTTCTAAAAAGGGCCCCCATGTGTCTATTACATACCTTCACTTGGCTCTCACTCATATTGAGTTCCTGTGCGAGTTGAGCGCGATCGGCTCCCGCCAAATATTTAGTTTGCTCGAATTTTCTCTCCAATTGATAAATCTAAAGGTGGAAAAAATGGGAATCAAAATGGAAGAACAGCTGAAATTCGTACCTGGTGTCCCGTGAAAGTGGGTCTACTCTGCTTCTTCTGCATACTCAGCGAGTTTGGAGACAATTGCATGGAGTGTTGAAGACGACTCATTGGAGAGAGTGATGGAAGTGTTCCGGGAAGATTGTTGAGCAAATTGAATGAGCTCAGAGCACGGCTTACTGTAATAAAGAGGAGATTAAAAATTTCGTGTGATACTCTAGGAATTGAATTTTTTTCATATTTGCTTTATTGGAAGATCACCCTAATATGAGCTCAATTATTTCAATTCCTGTGAAAGATAAACTACTCAACTGATGAATTATTTATCATATTATCACTAATATTTCATCAGTTGATAGATTTTTGATATTTTCTTACAGGAATCGAGATAAAGCAGGTTAGAACCATTTTATTTGCAAGAAAGAGAGAGGCGCTGGGTAGGCTACCTTTAAAGGTACATATCTAAAAAACTATAATTGATATTCAAGTTTTTTAAACTTCAACATGTAGCGTATAAAATGTTGCAAGCTTTTTAATTTTAGCAATTTTGGTAGATACTCTAGTTTTTGAGAAATGCGTCTTTAAAGTTGACTGATTCACCTCGGGCTGGAGTGCAAACTTTAAAGGCGCTTAACTCAAAAGCTATCGTACTTAATGTAAAATCGCCAACTTTACGGACCAAACGCAATAAAAATGTACCTAGAAAACTAAGTACCGTGAAACCTGTATTAGAAGGCCGGTCCTTCTATTGTTCCGAGGTACCTCCGGAGGGCCCTTCTATTACAGGGTCCCATCAATTAGAGAGACCCTTCTACTTTTCCGGCCAGTTTTTTCCCGAAATTTTGCATCAAAAAGTTCGACGAAGTTTCGTTCAAAATTCATGAAAATTGCCAATTTCACTAAAATTAAGCAAGATTTTCATCGAAAAAAGAGTTCCAACAAATTTCTATCAAATTGTGGAGTTCGCGGAATATTTTTCACTGAGAAAGTACGGAAATTTTCTGATTTCAAAACACATTTTGAAGGGGGGGGGGACCATTTTTACATGGGGGCCTTCTATTACGGGGGTCCTTCTATTACAGGGGCCCTTCTATTTTCCGAGCCCCTTTCGGATGACCCTTCTATTAGATGGGCCCTTCTAATACAGGTTTTACGGTATCTAGAATTTTCTCTAAGCAAAACATTGAAACCCTCAAGATCCCTCTTTAACTCTTCTCCTTTCCTATTCCCTTCATTCTACTCAGCTAATATGTTAACCTCGAAAAACAAAACATTTACACACACAAATCCATAAATGAATCCCATCGCTTCCGGTCGATTGACGACATTTTCATCATCAAGCGTGGCAAAAAAACGGATGGGCAAGGAAGAAGAAGGTCAGACACTAAGTACACAGACACAAGTTTCCGGAGTAGACCCATTTGATTGGCGCCACAGAATTATGTGGGACACAATATTGGTATAAGAAACTACAGTAATCCCTATTGGTATTTGAACTTGTTCGAACTCATTGCAGCATCTGGTCTGGTCTGTGTGCCAATTTACAATCCGAAATAAAATGTGTGAAGGAAGACCCTAACATCGTAAATACATTCCATTCCGTATGTCTCCAGAAACCGCGACACCCCTTGATTCAAGAATCTCGATGGGAACTTTACAACCTCTAATGAATAAGTGTAATAAAGAACAAAATTATCGAAAACCTTGTCAGCATGACTTTCCAAGGACAAAGAAGAGGAACATTGTATAATTAATGAGCCAGTTTACGGACAGAATGAAGTTATGGAACGGAACGGAAATTGACGACAGAGAAGTTTTTTGAGTTCCGTTTATTTAATGAGATGTGGAATAGACAGTTTCTGAGAGAGGGATAATGATGATGTGGATAGACTAGAAGGACTATGAGTCACTATTTTAAGATAGAACTGATTGTCCACATAACGTAAAATGTTGAAATGTGTGAAATTTCATACACTACATTTTCCATTTTACAAATTTTAAATACCACGGTAGCTTTTTTAGTTCTTGAGCTGTGTGCCTTTAAAGTTTGCACGCGAGCCAAAGGAGGATCAGTCCAATTAAAGGCGCATATCTCGAAAACTAAAATAGTTACTAAAATTACTAAAATGCTAAAATGTGTTAAATTTCATAAGCTATATTTTTGATTTTACAAAATTAAAATAGCTATCATAGTTTTTGAGATATGTACCTTTAAAGTTAGCCTACCCAGAGCCCCTATCACTCTCAAATGAAAAGGTTCTAGTTGTGAATTTTGACCAAATTTATATCGATTCCTGTGAAAGATATCAAAAATTTATCAACTAATAAAATATTGCTGATATTATGATAAAAAATTTACCCGTTGACAAATTTTTTATATCTTTCACAGTAATCGAGATTGAGTTTAAAGTTGACGGTTCGGGTGGGCTTCTATTAGAGGAAAATCGGTAACTGTTTGTCCGGATATCCACATTTTTATGTTTAAGTCCAAGTCTTATCAAGCAAGAATCATTTCAAAACCCCTCTTCTGCTATGAACACGTGTTCGCCTAATCGACTGCTAATGTGATTATTATGCAATTGTTGCCCCTCCCCAGCGAATGCATATGAATACGGTTGTGGGACATCTGCCCCTCCTCTCCTACTGAATCATTTATCCAGAAGCAAATGGTCACAGGCATATCATCTCTATTACCCAATTAGCTACCCTATATATGAATTTATAATTACTACTAACCATTTTCCTGTGTCACTCGATTCATCACTGATTGTGGGTTCAATTGTTGTTGGAGCAAGAAGAAGTAGGCCTGGAAATTTGGAATTTTTTCTGAAAATGTTTGCCGCGCTTCTTTTCAAGCAGCTGTCTGGTGCGCCTTCGGCGCAAAAAATATTCCCTAGGACCCAGACGGTTACCTGAATGCTCGGATCAATCGTTCCATTTCCATTTCCCATGAGCTGAGCCATTATTTGGTTTGGTGACGTGGCATTCTCCGAACTAGACGATGAAGACGAAGTCGGTGCAAACATGAATGAAGAAGCCGCGGTGTCGGCTGATGGACTTCGTGGATCCTCGTCGTTGCTGCTCGAATCGTCCTCGCTGGAACTGCTTGATGGAGTTGAGTCCTTCTTCTCCAGAAGGAGACTGGAGATACTGTAGGTCGATGACATCTTCCGATTCTCCAGATCCTTGTCGTCCGGAGTTATGGACAATTGTGGTTGCTCCGATGGCATGACGAGACTCATTTGTGAAGAGATTAAGAGTAGGAAAATAGATCTGGAAAGAAAATTGGATTGAAAAAAAACGGTAGATGCTTGAAAAGTAGGAGAAAGAAAGCGAAATGGATCAGCATGAAGAAGAAGTGGTTGTTATGACATAAACGCCACGTCATCATCGGAAACCGAATTTAACAATTTTCTAATTTATATACAGTGTCACACTAATATGTCTCACTCTCTCTCCCTTCGCCCCGGAAAGTCGTACATTTTTAATTAAACTGATTGGATACTGAAGAAGAAGAAATACATGGAATTCAGACAACGACAACGACAAAAACAATATCAATGTTTGACATATAGACAGGCAAAAAATAGAGAGAGAAAGACAAATTAACCAAGAATTAACTATATATTGGAATCTTAGATTTGTGTATATAGACGAGGAGTTTTGATGAAAATGAGTGAGCCACTGGAAAAAACAATGCGATAAATTACCGGCTTTGACAAGAATGAAATGAGCAATTCGTATTTTGTTAGTTGATTAGGGAAAGAAAAATAAACCGAAATGAAGGATTACTTGGTATTGAAAGTGGTAATCAGAAATGGGATTACTGTAGACGGAGTAGTTCACAAACAGCGGAAAATATTCTAAAAACTTAAATGGGGGACACAGTTTTTTAGAAATTCCGTTCGTATAAGCCCCTCGAGGAGTTAAACTGGCGGGCCCATTGTTGGAGGTTGCAAATAGCATTTTTTCAGACTTTCCTAGATAGCGGGAGCAGTTTTTAGGATATTATTGCAAAAATTGTCGAACAGATCTAATTTGTGAACCCAAATCCGATTTTGAAAAAGCTAGATTGGTAACTCTAACGGTTCAAAAGTTATGGCTTAAAACATGTATGCCGTATAAACCTACAGCGCACTGTATGTGCTTTGATTATCTTAAAATCCTAAATTTTGCAGCCAGGATCCTGACAGCAATACAAAAAATTGAGTTACCGTGTTTCCTACAATATATCTCAACCCTATACATGTAATTTGAGCTTAATTATGTGGGTTTCTGTCAAAGATATCAAAGAGTAATCAACTGATAAAATATTTATCATATTATTTCAAATATTTTATCAGTTTTAAGCTTTTTGATATCTCTAAAGGAAACAGAGATAACTCAGCTCAAAGTGAACGTATAGGGATAGGGCTTCTATTAGAGCAGTGACACTACCTGCTAGCTGATTTATAAAATTAAACTTTCAAAATCAGCTGGAAATGAGAAGAAATAATGACTCGAACTTTCTGGAAGAAAATAAATCTAAGATCACAAAAAATCTGGAAACTTATTTCATAAAATATTAGACGCATTTTAACCTCTTAGAAATGTTTCGAATTTCGAATACCGTAACTTTCAACTTTGAGCCTATTTATCTAGGTTACTGTAGGAGGTATCAAAAAGTGGTAAACTAACAAAATATTTTTGATGTTATGATAAACAATTTATTAGTTTACAACTTTTTGATATCTTTTACAGGAACAGAGTGCTCATTCCGTTAGAGTGCTTACTGTAAACTGACAAAAAAGGAAAACGAGGACCAACTGACTTTGCAAGGACCAACAATAAACGGCGTATTTGATTGCCTAATGAACTTCCCAAATAATGCAAAAGGGGACACTCGGAAATACCTAATAGACAGGTGCTAAACTTCAACTACATCTATTTTCATTTCGAGGCACAACACACACCCGATTTATTTTATTGCTCTTTCTGGAAGCCTAATCAAAGCATTTTGATAAATAAATATTATATATGAAAATTCATTTCATTTGAGGTCCTTTCGAAATATAAATCAGGTCATAATAATTGGAATTCTCTCTCTCTCTCCTAATCATAATATTATGTCCAAGCATGGGAAACTCTCATAATATTGAAACGTAATGAGCTCAATATACATGGGAAATTGAACAGATCTAGATAAACATTTGGGAAGGAAGCAGGTGAAGGATATTATTATTATTAGGGAAACGAGTCTAATCCGCGAAATAAGAATTGGTTGAGACAGAGAGACTCATTAACTGTTTTGGATTGGAGGAGGAGAATGAGGACTAGATTAAGAAATAAAAAGGAGGAAGGGTTCCGAAGAAGCCTTATGATGAGCTAGGTTGAAAAGAGAATTTGCAGATTTAGCCTGGAATTTTAATCTGGAAATTTTTTCCTGGATCAAATCGAGATCAGAAGTGTTTTAGATTTGGTAATTGAGATTCAGAGATTTCGAAATCCTAAGATTTTGAGATTTTGAGATTCTGAGATTCTAAAATTCTAAGATTCTAAGATTCTAAAATTCTAAGATTCTAAGATTCTGAGATTTTAGAATTCCGAGGTTTGTAGATTCTGAGTTACCGTGATTTTGAGATTCTGAGTTTCCGTGATTTTGAGATTCTGAGATTCTGAGATTCTGAGATTCTGAGATTCTGAGATTCTGAGATCCTGAGTTTCTGAAATTCTTAAAATCTAATTACAAGACTTTGAGATCCTCTAGAAGCTCTCAATGCTTTCAAATCGATTAACTGCAATTTTTGATTTGTGAGGCTTTTAGTCATCATAATTGCTCGAAAAAGTTTCTGACATCTATTAAATTTCAATTGCAGCACGCACTTTTGTTAATTATAAGCTACGTTCTAATTTTTCTAAATCGATTGACATGATATCAAAATGTTTCTTAAACTTGAACAAAGTACGAAAGCTACAAAGTTAGGCTTTTCGAGTTATAAATTGAGAATCGCCCTGTAATAGAAGGGCTTCCAGATTGAGCTCAATTATCTCGATTCCTGTGAAAGATATCAAAAATGTGTCAATTGATAAAAGACTTTTGATATTGTGGTAAGCAATTTATCAGTTGACAGATTTTTGATATCTCTCATAGGAACCGAGATAAATTAGCTCAAAGATGAAAATTGGGGCCCTTCTATTTGAGCAGATTTTTTAAACATTAAGAGCATTTATTTCTTTTTGAATCTTAGAATTCTAAAAAAGAAACAACTTTATATGCAAATTTTGCCAAATAAAGTAATATTTCTCAATATTATCAACAAAATGAGTTTGATATGATTGAGCAGTAGCGACGTTAGCAGCAGAAATCGCTTTCTCTCTCAAACCTTTCAATTATTTCTCATAACGGATAATAGTCATTTGTGGGCGTGTCCCTTCCCTTCCTCATATTTTCAGAATTTGAGATAATAAGAACAGGAAGAGAATATGTTCGACAGCTTCATCATAATCGCTTGGGACGCTGAAAACGAAGGAGGAGAAGTGTCAGAATGAACGAAATCTCAAATTTCCTAAAGGGGTCATCAATAACGAATAATAGACGATGATGAAGCCATATACGGTTGTCTAACATTTCAAAGTTGAAAATTGAGAACTATTAATTTTTTGGGCAAAATAAGTTTGCAAGGAAAAAATCCTGATGACGTTGAGAAAATCGCGGAGGAGGCGTTTTCAGATGTCTATAATTATATATGCCTACAGCATATTAGTTTTTGGACCACCCAGTCAAGGAAAAATGACACTTCTTCTATCCTTCAGGAGGCTTTTTGAGATACAAAATTGATTTTTGACAACGTTGGCATCTAGATAATTATATGATTTGAGCTCTGACGTGTTGTGAAATCATAAAATTTTAAAATTTAAAGTTTCCCATCTATGTGAACCAACCTATCACCTATTAATGAAACCTATTTCAGACAGTTCTTTTTTACAAAAAAAAGAAGAATAAGAATAGAATGAAAGCAATCGCACCGCTCTTCTCTTTTTATACCGACACCGATTATTTAATTAGAATAGGAAGTTGGAAGAGAGCATTATACATAAATGATATGTTGATGTAATAAGAAGAAGAGGAAGAAGAAAAGGACTAATTAAGACAGTAACAGGCGGTATTAGTTGAAAAGAACAGACTGTACGGACATGAGCCGGGAACAAACAAAATGATACATTTGACTTTTAGAAAGAAGCAGTTTTTTGGGTCCAGTGATTCATATTGGGGGAGAAGTTGGAGGAGAAAAGTTGGATGCGGTGGAAGAGTAACTGGGGGTTTTTGAATTGAGTTCAAAATTTAAGCTCTGGACTATTAGCACTCAAACTGAAGTTTAGCAATCTGAATTTCATTTTTTTGAATTTTGCATTCACAATCCGAAGATTACTGTATTTTCTAGAAAGCCCTAGTAGCCCTAAAAATCTCAAGATTGAAAATTTTGAGCTTTGGGTGTTCTAGGATTGTTGAATTTTAGGATTCTGAAATTCTTATATGGAAGTTCTAAAGTTCTCAAAGCTACTCGGGTTTTAGAATCTGGTGTTCTGAAGACCTTCTAGACTACAGAATCATCTTTTTTTTTGTAATTTAGCATTTGAGAATCCCTGTACTCGTGTTTCGAAAATTGCCCTTTTTTTGAGTACTTTAGAAACACAAAACCAACCAGAGTACCAAATATGACTTACACACCCATAAAATTTGATTCTGCAAAAAAAATGGATGAACTATGATTCCGAAAAATCTGTCGAAATCTAGAATCTCTTCTAGACCAACTACTAAAACTCTGACATTTCAGAATGCTAACGATTAGGAAAAATAACTATGATTTGTTTTGAAAAATAAGACAGAAAGTGAGGAGTGGACACTTTGGAACACAGACTTGGAAATTGGAGGTATATATAAATATAATGTGTGTGTATGAAATGAAATTTATGATGATGATAGGGCTTCTTTTGGGTGGAAAAGAAAGAGGGGACGGGCGGGACGGAGGGACGATTTGTGTAAATGACAATTAGGCGGGATATATTGAAATGTGAAGAAGAAAAGCTCGGGGATTGAGAAGAAGAAGAACTATTATTATTTTATTACTTATTTTTCAAAAATTCATGTTTTTGAAAGGAAACCGGAGAGGAGGGGACGGAGCAAAAGTGTCTGAAAGAATTTTCTTTTCTTCAAAAAACGGATCCTCGAGAGAAGGAAACCCTCAAAAAGTTAGGTAAATCT